TAAACACAATAAATAAAAATACAAAAAAACCTGCAGTACTTTCTTACTTTCATGAGTAAAAATAAAAAACTTCTCAAACAGACGAGTGAATTCTTACCTCCATTGAAAAGTTTCTGCCAGTTGAAGTTTGAACTTCAGAGGAAAGTAAAGCTGTGTAGTATTTCACCTCCAGGCTGTAGTATTTATACAGACAGGAAGGGTGGACCAGAAATGCATCAAGGAATGACACTTCATCAATTCAATTTCAGGAATTCAGTGCTCTCCTTTAAAAAGTTAATTTTTTTAATTGATTAAACTTTTTTGCAAAGGGAAAAAAGTTCTTTTATTATTATTTTGGGCTGGAGTTTACATGAAAGTAAAGGAAATGATGCTATTTTTCAATCCTGGCACCTAAAATTAATTTATTCATCTCAGTCTGTTATAACTGTGGCCATCATCAAAGCGATGATCTCTATCTTTGTATTTTACTTTCAAACACGAAGAGTAAAAAACATTTTACAAAACGTTATGAAATGTGTTTTTACCAAAAGAAAAAAAAATCTATAAACCAACATTTGTGTCGAAGTTTAACAAGGTAGAATTTGTGTCTCTTCTGCTCCAACCCAGTGAGCTGTCAATCATCTGGCCCCGCCCCCTCCTGGTTGCAAATATTATTACTCAGAAGAAAACTGGTGTTTAAACAGTAAATGAGGTCACAAATGTAAGTCTCCACCTAGAATTAAATAAAAATGTTAATCTGTAGTCAAAAATACTGAAGTGTTTTAGTTTATTTGGAGGTCTGACATCAAACAGCTGCAAGTTGTCCTCTTCTCCAGTTCACAGTGAAAATTCAGGTTTTAAATGTCGTGTGAATGTTTATTCAGGGTTCACATTGATGTCTTCCTGTTTTATGCAATAGTAAAAAATTTTTTCTGTTTTAGGCACGTTATGACATATTACGACTTCAGCTCATTACTCACCTCAAATGTTTTACCTGAGAAATTGTGTCGTTTTAGGGAAGAAGAAGAAAAAAGGGTGGACTGCTCTCTCCAGGCTGGGGCTGAAGTCCTGCCTCAAGTGGAGGAGTTCAACTTGTTTCATCACTGTCATATCCTTGTAAAGTTTAACATTGTTTTGAGAACTTAATCAAATTTACAAATATATGTCTGCTTTTCAAGATTATTCATGGTTCAGCTGCACCTCCCTTAAAAAGATTTGTATCCCTTAACTCTGGGAAAACATCTAGAGTCACAAGTTCAACTGTTCGTGGTGAGTGTCGAGTTCCTACATGTAAAACTTCCTTTGGTGAATCAGCTTTTTCTGGTGTTGTTTTACAACAGTGGAATACTTTGCCAACAGAACTATTGATATGTACAGATTTTCATGTACGACAAAACAATGGCTTCTCCTAAATCAAAGCTGCTCTCAGAACTGATGTGAGTGGAGTATTTGACTTTAAGAGTTTGTAGGATGACTTGTTGTAGAGTAATTCTTGCTTTTGGACATTGTAGACATGTTTAACTGCCTGAAATTATTTTTAATGAGTGGTTAGTCTTTTTAATGTATGTTTTTCTTCCATAAGTGGTGTTCATGATGACATCTTTTTGGGAGCATGGATGATTATAAATTGATTTTATATTGATTATGATTGTATGCCTTTGTATTGTACGTTTATGATGCCTTTTGATTTTTTTTTCTTCTTCTTTTTTATTTTATAATATTGTGTGGGCTGGGTTTGGGTCTACAGGTGGAAATTAGCACCAGAGCTATAACCTGATACAGTGCATCTTTCCTTTTATGGCTAATACATACTGTATATTGTCCCTGTTTTAAATAAATACAGCGGGTAAAATAAGTATTGAACACGTCACCATTTTTCTCAGTAAATATATTACTAGAGGTGCTGATGACATGAAATTTTCACCAGATGTCGGTAACAACCCAAGTGATCCATACATACAAAGAAATCAAACCATAAATGTCCAGAAATDAAGTTATTTGTAATAATGTGGAATGGCACAGGGAAAARATATTGAACACATGAAGAAAGGGAGGTGTAAAAAGGCATGGAAAGCCAAGACACCAGCTGAACTCTCTCAGTAATTAGAAAACAAGCCTGCCCCTTGTCAGTGCAAATTAATATCAGCTGGTTCAGTCCCAAATGATGACCAGGTATCACACAAGAACCATCTGATGATGGGTAAAAGTAAAAAGCTCTCTCAAGACCTTCACAACCTTATTGTTGTAAAGCATAATGATGGCATCGGTTACAGAAGAATGTCTAAACTTCTGAAGGTTCCAGTGAGCACTGTTGAGGCCATAATTCAGAAGTGGAAAGAACATTATTTCACCATAAACCGACCACGACCAGGTGCTCCTCACAAGATTTCTGACAGAGGAGTGAAAAGAATTATCAGAAGAGTTGTCCAAGAGCCAAGGACCACTTGTGGAGAGCTTCAGAAAGACCTGGAATTAGCAGGTATGATTGTTTCAAAGAAAACAATAAGTAATGCACTGAACCACCATGGCCTGTATGCACGCTCACCACGCAAGACTCCACTGCTGAAGAAACAGCATGTTGAAGCTCCTTTAAAGTTTGCTGCACAACATTTAAACAAGCCTGTGTAATACTGGGAGAATATAGTCTGGTCAGATGAGACCAACATTGAACTGTTTGGATGCCAGAATACACATCATGTTTGGAGGTCAAATGGCACTGCACATCAGCCCAAAAACACCATACCAACAGTGAAGTTTGGAGGTGGGAACATCATGGTGTGGGGCTGTTTTTCAGCATATGGTACTGGCAAACTTCAAATAATTGAAGGAAGGATGAGTGGAAAAATGTACAGAGACATTCTTGATAAAAATCTGCTTCCATCTACCAGGATGATGAAGATGAAACGTGGCTGGACATTTCAGCAAGACAATGAGCCCAAACACAAAGCCAAGGAAACTCTCAGTTGGTTTCAGAGAAAGAAACTAAAGCTGCTGGAATGGCCCAGCCAATCACCTGACCTGAATCCAACAGAAAATCTATGGAAAGAACTAAAGATCAGAGTTCATAGAAGAGGTCCACGAAACCTTCAAGATTTGAAGACTGTTTGTGTGGAAGAATGGGCCAAAATCACACCTGAGCAATGCATGCCACTAGTTTCTCCATACAGGAGGCATCTTGAAGCTGTCATTGACAACAAAGGCTTTTGTACAAAGTATTAGATAAATTTCAGTAAGTGTGTTCAATACTTTTTCCCTGTGCCATTCCACATTATTACAAATAACTTCATTTCTGGACATTTATGGTTTGATTTCTTTGTATGTATGGATCACTTGGGTTGTTGCCGACATCTGGTAAAAATTTCATGTCATTAGCACCTCTAGTAATATATTTACTGAGAAAAATGTTGACGTGTTCAATACTTATTTTACCCGCTGTAATAAAAAGAAAAGGTTGTAAGGATCTTGGGGTTTTGTTCAGGAGTGAGGGAAGAATGGAGCATGAGATTGAGAGACAGATCGGTGCAGCATCTGGTTTGTTGTGATGAAAAGGGAGCTGAGCTGTAAAGAGAACCGGTCAGTCTACGTTCCTACCCTCACCTATGGTCACAAATAGGGATGTCTCGATCAGACACTCAGTATCGGTGGCAGATATAAACATTTTTTTTAAAATGGGTAGAATCGGATTTAGTCATGTGATCGGGACAATCCAGTTTTCAGCATCATCATGCTTTACAACTGCCATTAAGAAGTCAAGACGCACACAAGTATGTAACTATGTCCACAGTGTGGGAACACTTTTCAATGGAAAACAATGATGCTGAAACTGCATCTTGCAAAATCTGCAAACTGGATGTTTCTTGTGGGAACAGCAGGGCTCGCTTTAATACTACCAACCTTGTCACTTGGAAAGAAATAAAAAATATATATATATATATCGGATCGGTATCGGAAAGCCTAATCATTAAAAAAATYGGATTGTATCAGGAGCCAAAAAATCTGGATCGGGACATCCCTAGACACAAACTTTGGGTAGTGACCAAAAGAGCAAGATCATGGTCAAAGTGAGTTTTCTCTGCAGGGAAGCTGGACTCAGTGATCCGGGAGGGACTTAGAGTAGAGCCACTGCTCCTCCACATCGAAAGGAGCCAGTTGAGGTGGTTTGGGCATCTAGTAAGGATGGACTCCTCCCTAGGTAGGTGGGAGGAGACCCCGAGGAAGACCCAGGATATGTTGGAGAGACTATTTCTCTCTGCTGGCCTGGGAACTCCATGAAGTCCTCCCAGAGGAACAAGAAGAGCTGGCTGAAAGAGAGGTCTGGGCTTCCCTGATCAAGCTGCTGCCCCTGAGACCTGACTTCGGATAAAGTGGAAGATAATTGGATGGATGGATGAATGGATGGAAAAAAAAGGTTTTGGATTTAGTGGTCGTGACAGATTTTAGAACCAAATACATCCAGTAAAAAAGACCTGGATTTGTTGCTGTAAAAGGTTTTGAAGTGTGTAAAACTCAAAATGACAGTTTTCTAAAATGAAAAAGAAATATGTTGCAATTCCTTAGTTTCAGCATTTATGATTCACAGTGTTGCTTAATGAACGAAACGTCAAAATACCCACATCAGGATACTCAATTCTAGATTGTACCGGTTCGACACGGCGCGTTGAGAAAGTTTATGTTGAGTGATCCTGATGTCTGGAGACGGCGAGTCCTCGCATGTAAACCTCTGCAGTACGATTCTAAAAAAAATGCTTCTTTCAAATAAAATGATTTATCCACATAAAACATAAAAACGTTGCCAAACTGTAATTACACATCTGGAAAATAAACCTGCATGTGTTGCATCATCGGCATAATGCAGACTGAACGATACTGATTCAGTTTCATTTCCAGAATCTTGTTCAGAATCACGTAATCAGTTTCCCCTGACGCTGTGGTTTTAACAGTTTAATAGTTAATTGTTGTTTGATCTAAAAACAACAGGTTGATTCTGCCTGTTTGATGAAGATTAATGACGACATCAAAGGTTTAAAACGTGTGTACTTTAATTACTTTGTACACGTCAATATTTAAGAACACAACAAACAAACCTTACAGAAAACAAAGGAGAAATAGCTTTTAAAAGCCAACAAATCAAGCGTTCTGGTAAGATGTGATAAAAACACAACATGTAAACTCATCAGACTTGAAGGAGATGACATCACACGGGGTCGTCATAAACCAGCTGGACAGAAACTTTGTCGCCGAGCGCTTCGTTCTCTCTGTAAACGTACATCGTCGCGTCGTTAGCGGGCGGGATGTCCTCCCCGCTCTTCCGCTCGTCGCTGGTTTCGTTGTTCTCCTCGGCGATGAGGTCGCTGTACGAGGCCACGCAGACGTCGTGGTCCTGGAGGGACGCCGGGTAATGCAGCGAGGCTCGCTCGATCCGCACCGAGCGGCGGACCGGAGTGAAGAAGCGCACCTCGTAGCCGTTGACTCTTACAGGCTGTCTGTGCTGACTCGGGGGACCACTGAGGGACAAATAAAGAGTTGGAACTCAGGATGCCTGTAAAACCAACACCAACCATTTTGTTTTCATATTACATGTCCGGGTCTATAAATAAACACTTTTGTTCTGATGAGTCCCGGTCGTTTCAACTTTAAAAACAGTGACATCATGTTGGCACACTCACTGCATGTCTCTGCTGTCTGGGACTACAAATAGGGGGACACCAGGGACAGTTGCAACACTTTTTACATTTGACTCTGTTACTCAGAGATGGTTTGAATTAGACAAACCAATCCAAAACCAGTCCTGGACCAGTTCTTCTGTTTTTGTCTGTCTCTTTCCTGTCCTCCAACCAGCCGGTCGAGGCAGATGGTCTCCGGTCCTGAGCCTGGTTCTGCTGGAGGTTTCTTCCTGATTAGCAGGGAGTTTTTCCTCTCCACCGTTTGCTCAGGATGGGAGACTGTGATGAAGTGATTCAACACAATCTGCTGGTTTCTTCTTTACATTGTTCTTTTTATGTACAGTGCCCTGAGATATGTTGTGACTTGGTGCTAAATAAATAAACTTGAACTTGAATAATTTGCATTTGAAAATGAAAAGTCAGATGTTGCAACTGACCCCGGGGACGGGGACAGTTGCAACATTGTTTGGAGGTGGTTACAACATGTTATCAATACAATATATTTCACTGTAAATATAAGTTTTATTATTTTTATATTTATATTATTGCTAAATTAATAAAGAACTGTAAGTTATGATATTACAGTGTTATTTATTTATTCTTTTTGATCAAATGATGAATTTAGATTTGCTTTGATGAGTAGATCTTATATACAGATGTCAAAGACTCTAATTCAAGTTAATTCAATTCAAAATACTTTGCTGATCCCAGAGGGAAATTAGGTAGGTTTTAGGTTTTTTTAGGTATTTGATATAAAATACATTTGGCTTTTAGAGACAAGAATCACAGAACAATTTGTGAGACAGTTAACTTTTGTTTAGCCTATTGTCACTGTACGCCTACATTATGCAACATTTACAAAGAAACAAACTGGGATTTAAAACCATTGTTGAAAACAACAACTGTAGAAAATACATCTTAAACACTTTTATGTTTTAAACCAGTGGTTCCCAAAGTTGGGGTCGGGACCCAAATTGGGGTCCTGAAACATCAAGTTGGGGTCCTGAAAAGATTTTCTAAATTAATTATATTTTTGCCTTAGTTGCCTAAAATGTATAAATGTAGAATAATAAATATTGTTATTATGCCCATGTTTAGTTGACCTGATACAAATGTTTATCATCCAAAATTGTGGGCACAGATCTCTGCTACTGTTATTTTGTGGGTCAGAAGATGAAAAGTTTGGGAACCACTGCACTTCAGAAATCAATTTAAAGGGTAATAAAATAATTTGTGATGTAATATTTTCCCTATAATTATTACAAAAACATAAAATAAGTATAAATAAGTACATTTGTGTAGCCTTTGGTTTTAGGGTTATTAACAAAGTTTGTGTACTACTACTCAGACCAGTAATATTTGGGGTCACAAGTTTTTGCCATGAATATTTTGTGGGTCAGAGGATAAAAAGTTTGGGAAACACTGTTTTAAACTATAAAACTGTCATGAATACACAATACCCTTTTAAGTGTAAACTTAATTTAAACATCTTAATATCATCTGTATGTGCTCTGTTTTTATATGGATTTATCATATGGGGACAGTTACAACAACTGTTACAACTGTCCCCCTTCCTGTCAGCCATGATAAAACCTCATGTGTTAGCTAAATAAGCTGATCTTGATACATGTTAACTATATTAGTTAAAAGTCAACATATGACTTGTTTAAACCATATAAGTTTGAGCTGAATCACAAAAACAGTGACAGCAGTACAACAAAAATAAAGCTGGGCAAAAAAAAATAAATACTTTGGTTCCTCAAAAACAGTTTTTTCCAAATAAATCCTGGAGCAGTTTTTTAATCTGCTTACTTTTTCTCTGCAAGGTGGGACATCTAACTGAGCATGTACAGTGTGTCATCACTCTAGCTTGTTTCTGTTTGGAGAAAAATGACATGTTGCAACCGTCCCTTGTTGCTACTGTCCCCGGTCTCCCCTACATTATATTATATGAATATAATGCTATTAGGTAGTCTGGAAGTACGAGGCACTAAGTGTAAGATCAAATAAAAAACATGAAAAAAAGAGCCACTAACATATTTTCATTACCCAGCTCATATTCCACTAAAACTTTATATTAGCTCATTGTTCCTACCTACATGTTGCACATTTTTACTAAATATTAAATTTAAATGTTTTAAATTCAAAATATAAATCTTAAATCTTAAATGTTGTAATTGTCGAAGTTCACATTTAAATATCTTGGAATGGAATGCAGCCTTTGCTGTTGGTGCTCGCCTCTTGTTAGCAGCGGTTAGCGTTAGCTGAACAGGACGATGTCATCGTCTTACGACTAACGTGAATGTCAAAAATTAAATTGTTGAAAACATTATAGGTGGTAGCCTTTGCTGTAGGTGCTCTCCTCTTGTTATGACATCATCATCCTGAAATGAAAGAAACCGCTAACACTGCTAACACTTCCCTATAAGACATCAAACTTCCGGTTGTGTCCGGTGTCTTACGCACTTCAAACAACCGGACCACAGGTACTACCCATAATGTTTTCAACAAACACACTTCGTATTTAATTTTTAGCATTTAGTTTTGTCGCAGGATGATGACACCATCCAGTTTAGCTAACGCTAACCGATGCTAACAAGAGGCGCGCACCAACGGCAAAGGCTGCGTTCCATTCCAAGATAATATAAATTTCAACACTTACAACATTTAAGACTTAACATTTACATTTAGATTTATACATATGGATTTAGAATTTAACACTTAGAGAAAATATTTAGTAAAAATAAGCAAAATGTGAGAACCGTGAGCTAAATACCACTAAAATGTTAAACTAGGATTTTGCATTCAGAAAGTGAGCTAAATAATGCAACATTAACATTTTATTTTACACTTGGCCCCTCATACAGGAGCATCCACGATGTAAATTCACAGAACTACTCCTACTTCGAGGCTGGACAAAAACAGAAGAAGTACTTATGCTTTCTGTCATCGCTACTGTTGTTCTTTTCCTGTTCGGTTTCACTTGTAAACAACATCATGTAAACTGGGCCACAGCTTCTTTTAAAGCCAAACTTCAAGGCAGAAAATGTTTATTTCTTGTCTCTGTAAACACGATAAGTGGATTTGCCTTTTATTTTCTTTGGAAATCTGATCAATCTAAGACATGCAAAAACATAAGATGTTTTCTTCCCGTCAGGTTACTGATGAAATAGTGAGGTAGTTACTGAACGAGCTCCTAAACCTGAGCCCAGGTGTCCTGAAGAACCAAACGTACCCAGGAGTCTTGGTGATCTTGTACTTGACCACAGAGGAGTCTCCTTTCTCTCCATTAATGAGCGCTCTGACGGGTTTGGGGGTCAGCAGGGGATTGATGATACCATCTGGAGTGTTTTCAGCTGAAGAAATGTGTTCTTGGTTTTCGTTCTCTTCAACAATAAACAAATAAATAATCAATTAGACTTGTAGTTTCCTCAGTTTGTTAAAAACCCACTGGCTAAAATGTCAGTTAAATTTGACATCACTTTAAAAAACAAATATACACCTTTAATTGAAAAGAAAAGCTTTATTTGTAACGTGTACCTTGGATCTCGTCCTTTTTCTTCAGAATGTCAAAAACCACTGATCTCAGCTCGTCTACAGGCTGAGAGAAGAAAAGAACAAGTTAATACAGATTTATTTTAATTTGTCATAGATTTGAACAAAATGCAACAATTATAAACATAAAAAACCTTCAGGCAGTTTTTCTGAAACTCTAAAATCAGATTTGATCTGTTTTTATCTTCTGAACTCATTTTCAAATGAATAAACTTGGTGCTACATTCTTCTGTTAGCTTTTCATCTGTTTTGCATCTGACAGCAACTAAACTCAAACTGAACTCAGAGGCTCAGTGTGTTAAAATCAACATTACAGTAGCAATCAATAGTTTGCTTTGCCAAATTGAGCATTTTTCTACCAATCACTGTATTATTGTGTTGTTTATTTACTGTTACTCTAAATACACAATGAGAGGAATTGAATTAAAGTTATTACACTAAAATGTTTAAATACAGAAGCTTCAAAAACAATATTTTTCCCAGTGATGTTTTCAGACCTTAAAATTTGTTCTAATTAAGATGAAAATTACATATTAATAAAAGCTAATAGACACAAAAAGTGTTTTTAAGCCTTGGAATAGCTTTGATCGAACTGTATGAATTTTAATTTGAGTTTATTTTTTCTAAATAGTTGATGTTTAGAAAACTTTTTTTTCTCTAAGAGGATGGTTGTTAGATTTTTTGCATAAAGAATAAGAGCACAGAAAACTTTTCAGGTGTTTTACCTCCAATACAACACGGACGGCCTCTTCGAACATGGGCAGCACATCCAGGTCTCCTTCTCGCTCCATCAGGCGAGCTCGACAGATCCAGTATTTGGCAAACTTCTGAGACAGCGGTGGCAACCGTGAGAAAATCTGCCTCACCTGGTCTGGAGGGCAGCCCTGTGGACGGGAGACAAACGCTGAAGTTAGAAATTCTCCTTGAAAAGCTGAATCAATACGGCATTAGAGGACCAGAACTACAGTGGGTAACTAGTTATTTGAAAGATAAGAAATGGTTTTATCTGAACTCTGATATACAATATTACATATGGAGTTCCTCAAGGTTCTGTACTTGGTCCCAAGTTATTTCTTTTATATGTGAATGACTTGGTAAATGTGTTGGGGCTTTTTAAATGTGTTTTATTTGCAGATGAAGCTTTTTTGTTTGGGTGAAGATATAGAACGGATGTTGGAGATGATGCAGACAGAATTTGTAAAAATACAAACTTGGTTTCAACTTAATAAACTATCATTAAATTTTGATAAAACTTGTGGTAAATGTGATATTCGGTAATAGAAAGCAAACTATCAACATAGAGTTGATGGTGTTGAGTTTTGTAGAGTTAGAGAGGTGAGGTTTTTGGTGTTTTAATTGATAAATTATTTAATAAAAATAGCTAAATCTATTGCAGTATTGTACAAAGTAAGGGAGTTATTCAATGATAAAGCTCTGTATATGTTGTATAATGCAATAATTGTTAGAGACATTATAATCACCCAGCAAATATATTATTTCATCAATTGAACTTATTAAAGTTCTAGGACTTGGCTGATTACATTTTGCAGGTTATGTATAAGGCACATAAAAACATATTACCTTTAAACATCCAATAAAATTTTGTTAAGAGAGAGTTATTATAATCTTAAAGGGATGGAGATGTTTGTAGAACTTAAATTTCAAACCAGTTTGAAGGAACAGTGTACTTCAATCCAAGGAATGAGATTATGGAATAATCTGGAGAGTGATGTTAAAGATGCCAGAAACTTTAAGTGTATGTTTAAGAGAATGATAAAAGTTGGTCTGTTGAAGAAATATGAAATATTATAATGTGTCTCTATACTAATTGTTGTTCAAGAAGAATTTGATGTTTTTGTTTTGTTTTTGACTTGAAGATTGTTGTTTAAATTTTTTGGGGGGAAAAAGGGGCAGATACAGTGGTTTGCAAAAGTATTCATACCCCTTGAACTTTTCCATATTTTGTCACATTACAACCACAAACATAAATATATTTCACTGG